CTCGGTGGGCGGCCGCCCGCACCCCCCACCCGACCCCGGCGCAGGTGCCGCCAGCTACTGCAGTCCTTTTGATTTTTTGCTGAATTAAATCGCATGTATGCGTCCTTGTTTTATAACACAGAACACCAGATATTGATGTGACCATAGGAAACTTAACTGAGCGCTTATTAAGTGCTAGGCTTTTGCTAAGCGCTTTATAACTCTTCTATCATGTAATACTCGCAACAGCCCTTTTGAGAGGCAGCTTTGGACAAGTGGCGTAAAGCTAGGTTCTGGTGTCAGACTGCCTGGGCTCCAATCCCATTTAGCTGCTCACTGGCTGAGTACCCTCGAGGGCCTCGGCTGTGAAATGGGGGTGCTACTATGATCCCCATTTTTATGGAGGTTGCCTTGCCATAACTTGCCAGGGATCACAGTTACTAATTGGTAGCGATGAGATTGGAACCCAGGCAGTTTGATTTATGGTTAACAGGATTAATAATTTTTAAATTACATATTAAGGCCCAATGAGGAACGTCTGTGTAAGGCTGGTTCCCCCGCCCAAAGTATTTACATCCAGATTTTCTTAATTTGAAAATTTTTTTGAGCTAGTATTGAAAAAAGTAATGCATGTTTATTGAAGAAAATAGAATATGCAAATAAGTACGTGGATGAAAAACCCACCCCCAGAAGAAACCACCGCTAATATATAGCTGAGCTGTCTTGGGGCTATTTTTCTTAGGATCTGGTAAGTCGGTCTAAGTCCAGTTTGAGCCCTCTACTGGGGCTCCCGGCCTGGGCATACGAGGAGAGCACTGCTCCCAACCCCCAAACCCCTCTTTAGGAGGTCTTGGCAGAGGCCTGAGGAGAGAACTCAGCCAAACGGAGAAGGGGCCAGGCCTTGGGTGTCTGAGAGTATTCTGATTGTGAGATTGTGAGAGCAAAATCGAAAAGAAACATCCCTACATCCTGCGGCTGTTGGGGCTTAGGCACCTCTACCCTGAGGCCCCTCTAAGGAACAACTATACAAAGAGAAGAGCACAGTTCCCTTATCTCAGCCCTACAGCTTCAGCCCTGAGGGTAAGGGCATCTAACAGCCCCAGAGCTATGCCACTTACAGCTATGGGGCCTTGGTCAGATTATTTAGTCCCTCTGTGCCTCAGTTTCCTCATCTCCAAAATGAGGATGATAATAGTATCTATCTCTGAGGGCTGCTTCAAGAATTAAATGAGATCTTGTTTGCAAAGTGTTTAGCTTGGGTGTATGGCATACACTAGGGGCTAATAAATGTTTTATTATAGGTGTGAGGATCTGTAAATTATATTTGTAGCAGGTTTTCAGAATGTAAATTGTGTGGGATTCTTGGACGAGGGGAGTGCAGGGTTCTCAGCATCAAGTTTCTAGGGGGCCGGCCCCATGGCCTAGTGGTTAAGTTCAGTGCGCTCCGCTTCTGCGGCCAGGCTTTGGATCCCAGGTGTGGACCTACACCACTCGTCAGTGGTCATGCTGTGGCAGCAACCCACATACAAAATAGAGGAAGATTGGTACAGATGTTAGCTCAGGGCAAATCTTCCTCACCGGAAAAAAAAAGAAGTTTCTAATGCATCCCAGTGGGAGGCTGAAGGCCTCATAATGGCATTTACCCTCTTCTGGGGGTGGGGATGGAAATAGGCCACCATAATTAGAGACTGTGGTTAGAATTTTTTTCTTCTAAGGGCTGGGGATGGGGTAAGAACAAAGAAAACAGAGGGAGGTACAGTGCGAGGGGCTCGGTGGGGATGGATTGACTTTTATAAAACTGGGATCAACGGTTCCACCACTCAGGGGCTGAGTTGGACTGGAACTAGAGAATCAGTCCCTTCCCTAAACCTGCATCAGGCCCTGCTAGACACATTTCCCCACAGGAGGCCTCAGGATGCTCATAAGCACCCAAGTGGTGGCTCTCAAGCTTTATCAGGCCTCAGAATCACCTGGGGTGGTCAGGGGAGAGGGGTCGTTTAGCATGCAGACTTTCCAGTAAGAGTCTCATTCAGTAAGTCTGGGGTGGGGCCAGGAAGCTGCATTTGTAGCAGTCACCCCGTGACCTGGATACAAATGAGCCCTCTGACAGCTCCTAGGAACACTGCCCTAAGGCAATGGTGACCCATTAGTAGGTGTCAACTCAATTCAAGGGGTGGAGACCAGCATCTAAAAAAAGAAAAGAAAAGAAAGAAAAAACAGAAACAGTACTCATAGTAAGAGTTTTCTCATTTGTTTGTTTCAGTTACATATACCTGTTGTCGGGGTGGGAGAAAATCCCCTTTTTACCCTTCTTGTGTTCTTATGGCTGGACTACTAATAAAATTGACACAAGACCATATTAACAGGAGAAAAACCCAGTTTAATGCGTACATATTGGAGATCATAGAGAAATGATGCTCAGAGAGTCAACAAAGCAGGCAGTATATGCATCTTTTATGCAAAGAAATGATAAATGTGTGAGGAATGGCAGGACAAAGAAACTTGGATTTGTGGTAAGTAATTAGTGAGGAATTTAAGCAGAGTTTAGGCTTAAAGTAGGAAATTAGCAAGGTTTGTCTATGCAGGCTTCTCGGCTCTGAATTCCCCAGCTCTGGTGATACAAGGATGTAGGGAAAGCACCTTTCACATGGGAGATTTATTTCCTGCTTTCAGGGGGAACAGAGACAGGAGGGTCAGAACGCCCTTTTCGCTTCTCAAGTAACTTTAATTCAAAATATTCAGGATGCTATTGTGGGATATTTGGGGGTAGCCTGCCCTGAGCCCCAACAATGTACGTGTGTGAGCACTGGAGATTGAAGGTATTTCTTACTGAGGGTCATGGTCAAAAAAGTTGGAAAGCTGCTGCTCTAAGGTGACCACTGGACCTTGGTGGGAGTGGAGAGGGCTGTAGTTGAACTTTAGGGCTTGCCTAGGCAGGACACCCTGAGCTGGGGACAGAGAAGAATCGACACCTCTGTTACATTTTAGTCATTCAACAGGTTTATTGAGCACCTACCTATATGCCAGGCTGGATTCAAGACACTGAGGCTACAGCAGTAAGGAAGAGCAAAGTCTACTCTCCTGGACATAGAAAACAAATGGAGAGGTAATATAATGTCAGTCAGTGCTCAGAGTTATGGAAAAGACTCAAGCATTATAGGACAGAGAGCTTGATGAAGGTGCTGATCTAGAAAGGCTGATCTAGGAGGCCTCTCGGAGGAGTGGCACCGGAGCTGTGCCCTGGATAAAGACAGCAAGTGTGCCTTGAGAATGTCTGGGGAAGGAGCTTTCCGGGCAGAGGGACCAGCAAGGGCAAAATTTCTTTTTATGTCGCAAACTCTGCTCCTCCCTCGCCAAAGTACTGCATACAATTCACATTCTGAAAAGGTGCTACAAGTATATTTACAGATCCTCACACGCATGATAAAATATTCATTAGCCCCTGACCATAGGACATAGGTGGGAACGTCTTTATTTTTATCAAACTGGGATTATCTGTACATTCTGCTCTGTAACCTGCCTTTTCACTTGCTCATTTAGGACATTTGGTTTCGGTATGTTTTTTCTTCTTTAAACTTTTTGGCACTGCACATTTGAAAAAGTCTCTTGGAAAAGATTATTCTTCCCCAGCCTTTACTCTCGCTCAGGGTTGCTCTTTAACCGCAGCACCAGCCCTCTTCTGTCTCTGCCTGGTGGGGGCCCTGGCCTGTCACTGGCCCCGCCTTGCCCTGTCCGCATGCCTCCTCCCTCCTCAGACCCTGATCCAACCAGCGTCTCTGGGGTCAGGGCTGGAAGTCATCTGACTGGGGTTTGCACGGTTTCCAGGAGTGACAAGAAGACAACGCTGTGGCTTCTTTTGTCCTGTGACGTTTTGACAGTTTCAACTGTCACCTTTAAGAGGGAGTTAGCAGCCTGCCAGTGCAGACAGACTCAGACCACATGGGTCCCCTGTGATGAAGTCCAGGCCCCCAAGGAGAGAGAGTCCTCTCTGCTCTCGCCTGACCAGACTGGACTGGATGCGACCAGATCGCATCTCCAGAGGGATCTTAGGACCAGCACCCTGCAAAGGAGGGACAGTATGAAACTGGGCAAGTCCAGGACAGAATAACCAGCTCAGGCAGTAAACAGCCAAGAACTAGGATAATAGTTACATAAGGCAGAGTTGGAGGCACTGGTAGTGTTAGGCTGATGGGTGAAAGGTGAATGGGGAAAGGGGTCCATGAAATTACGTTGCTTACACCCGGTCCATTGTATCTTGTGTCCTAACTGGCTGTCCATGGCTGTCTTCCTCTTTTATTTTTTATTCAAAAAAACTCAGTGAGCATCTACTATGTGCTAGACCTGTGCTGTCCAATACCATAGCCACTACCCACATGTGGCTACTTAAATTTAAAGTTAAAATTAAATACAATTCAAAATTCCATTCTTCACTTGCACTAGCCACATTTCAGGTGCTAAATAGCCACGTGAAGCTCGGGGCTAGCGTATTGGACAGCACAGATGTAGGACACTTCCATCATAGTGGAATGTTCTATTGTAGTGCTGCACTAGACCCAGTGTTAGACACTAGCAATAACCACAGGTGTAAATAACACTCAGTCACTGCCCACACGGAGCTCACAGTCAAGTCAGAGAGACAAGT